CAATGGCCCGGCCCCCAGCCACTGCAGTAGCCGGCTCCATCCTCACATCCCTCGATATGTCCATCTTAACTTTTCATAGCCGCCTTCTCCGTTGTTTTTCAAAACTCGTTAGTGCAACCACCACTTCCAGCCGGCAAACTACAAAACAAGGATACAAGAAATCCGAGAAACGCATCCTCCCCCTTCTGAAATCTACAAACAAGAAAAGGACAATTGTTCTTGATCTTGACGAAACATTGGTGCACTCTACAATGCAGCCACCAAGAGTTAAAACCGATTTCATGGTGAGGGTGAAAATCGAAGGGACGGTTATACCAATGTTTGTGGTGAAGCGTCCGGGCGTGGATGAATTCTTGGAAAGGATTAGTGAAAACTACAAAGTGGTGGTATTCACGGCCGGGATAACAGACTATGCTTCACAGGTTCTGGACAAGCTGGATAAGAAACACATAATCTCACAGAGGCTGTATAGAGACTCATGCAAGGAAATGAACGGGAAATATGTGAAGGACTTATCTTTAGTGGAGGGAAAAGAGCTCGGAAATGTTTTAATTGTTGATGACAATCCATCTTCTTTCATGTTGCACCCGGAGAATGGTGTGCCTATAAAACCTTTCGTGGATGATATGAACGACCGAGAACTGATGAAGCTCGCGGATTTCTTTGACAGATGTTACCGGTATGAGGATATGAGGGATGCCGTCAACATATTTCGAGCCGACCAGCTGATCTGATATTGCTTTATTTCCAAATCCTGTTTTCCTTTTCTTGGATGTTTTCTTTCTCATTTTTTCTTCGGGGAGGGACGATATAGGCGTTTGGTTTTTTTCGTTGAAGATGGATGCTTCCTTCTTCAGCGTTGCACCAACATATGTCGGGAGCTTGACCTGGAAAACATTAAATTGTATCAGAAAAAGAGGGGAAAAAAAGAAAAAAACAAAACAATAAAGAGCATTTGTTCTAGCAGATATTCAAGATCAGAATTTTTTTTTAAGAAAAAAAAGAATTACATCTGTGGAACAGCCATGAATGAAATTGATATGCAGAAGAAGATCGACAGTGAAGCAAATGACCACCTCGAGATGACATGTAAACGCCATTAGAACACCCACAGGAACCTGATCAACTCCACATAAAACTTGTAATGAGAAGCGAAACAACGATAATCAGACACGGGATGGCAGAATGTTTTCAGACGAAGACAAGCATGGCATAACACACAAATCAACCCGCACAAACTTATAATTGAATTAAAAACAACATCGATCCGACACTGGATTCTACTCTGCACCCAAAAAGCCAAAAGCTTTTGAGACAAAAATAGCATAACACAATGTCATCCATCAACCCAATTCAACCCAGAGGATTACATTCTCATGCTCCTTCCACAATTCATAAAGCAATCGACCTTTCTGACTACCCTATTCATTATCTTAGAAATAGCATATGGTAGCCGCAAATTCAGCAGAGTTCAGTAACAAAAGTCTTGACCTTTTCAAGTGACTTCATCAGAACTCCATTAACATAAACTAAAGTGAGCTCAAAAGAAGTATAAGAAAAAAGATCAAATCATAAACCCGAAAGGAAGCATCTTTCAAATTTCAATAGGTATGCGGGTCAAGAATTGTCTGATTCAACAAGATACCCAACACAAATACAATACAAAGGATGTTACAGAAAGAGAAAAGTAAACAGATACAAGAAAATTTGGAGAGAAATCAACAAAAGTATCCCTATATATGCCCATGAAATTGGCGGAAAGAACTCCAATGAAGACAAAACCTAAATCGACCCATGAGTTTTTTTGGTTGAAACTATTGCGGAGATACGAGAAGATTTGGTAACTAACCCAAATCGGAATTATAAATCTATTTGTTCCTAAGTATCAGCATTACAGGATTGTACTTTCCTTGTTCTGTTTTAGGTTAGCTTACGTCTCTTACATATATAAAAACTTTGTAAGCTCTGAAAATTCAATAAGAAGAACACAGCCGCATTATGCAATTCTTCATCCTTGCTTGATATTTATCATGGTATCAGAGCACGAACCCTTCTAAATCTTACTACGAAATTTCAATCTCATGACGACCCCGACCCCGACCAATTCACCTCCGACCCAGACCACGCCGCCAACAATGGCACGACCGACTGTTGCTGAACCTGTTCCAGCTCCACGAAGAACTATTTCTCCATATGATTTAACCCCGAGCGACAACCCCGGCCTGATTCTCTCACAGCCTTTGTTGCGTGGAGAAAACTATGATGAATGGGCGATCAATATTCGCCAAGCTTTGAAGTCCCGAAAGAAATTCGGTTTTGTCGACGGAACTATTCCACAACCGATTGAAACTTCCCCCGATTTTGAAGACTGGGATACAAATAACGCACTCATTGCCTCTTGGATCAAGAACACTCTTGACTCCAATATCCGATCTGATGTTGTGCATCGTGAACTGGCCCAAGACCTTTGGGATTATCTGAAAAGGAGATTCGGCAGATCCAATGCTCCTCGACTGCTAAAGATCCGAACTGATCTCGCTAATTGCCGCCAACAAGGGATGACGGTCGCGGCATATTTTGGTAAGTTAACCAAACTGTGGGATGACTTAGCCAATTTCCGTTCCCTCAAGTATTGCAAGTGCAATCACTGTACATGTGATGTTGGCGGGACTCTTGAAAAAGAACGTCAAGAAGACAGGTTATTTGAATTCTTGTTGGGACTCGATGACTCAAGATATGCGATTGTTCGCTCAAACTTACTCTCTCGTCTTCCTCTTCCAACTTTGGAGGAAGCTTACAACATTGTCTCGCAAGATGAAGATGCTAAGCATATCATTCAAACTCACGATGAAAGACCAGACGTCGCAGCCTTTTCAGTCCGAACTTCTCTGAAACCCCGACCTAAAGATGATGACAAAGACAAGACGATCCTCTGCACCCACTGTGGTAGATCTGGCCACTTAGCTGAAAGCTGTTTTCGGCTAATCGGATATCCCGATTGGTGGGGCGAGAGACCACGAAACAGAACAACAGTTGCTCGAGGGAAAGGAACATCATCTGATCGTCCTCGGGGAGCTGTTGCCCGAGCAAACGTGACCCACGTCTCATCTCTCCCACATGCGCCTCCCTCAACGGATGCAGAAAAGCCCATGCTGTCGGGCATTACCCAAGAACAGTGGAACAACCTCATGTCTCTGCTTAACTGCTCCAAAGTCAACAATCAGGAAGATATATCTGGTAAGAAATTTTCAGCCCCTTGGATACTTGACAGTGGTTGTTCTCAACATATGACTGGAATAATCTCGTCCTTGGTTGATATTACTTCTATTCCTCCGTGCTCCGTCATACTTCCCGACAACAGAACAGTTTCTGCGTCTCTCTCTGGATCAGTGATTCTCGGGCCCAATCTACGTCTCTCAAATGTGCTGTTTGTTCCGGGATTGCATTGCCAGCTGATTTCTATCTGTCAGATGATGGTTGACACTGATTGTTATGTTACGTTTGCTCCTTCCTTCTGTATAATTCAGGACCGGACTTCCAAGACGCTGATTGGAGCGGGTGAGCAACGATCAGGTTTATTTTACTACAGAGGAGCGGCTACTTCAGCAGTAACTCGGACACAGAAATCTCAACAAGCTGATCTTTGGCATCAGCGGTTGGGTCATCTTTCTCCAAAGGCACTGTCAAAGATTTCCGCTCTTGATGTTTCAGCTGTTTCATTTTCTGATTCGGATATTTGTGATGTTTGCCTCAGAGCAAAACAAACACGAGAACCTTTTCCATTGAGTCGAAATAAGACATCAGCCATTTTCGAGCTTGTCCATTGTGACATATGGGGACCATATAGATCACCTTCTTTTTCTGGAGCGCGGTATTTTTTAACTATTGTGGATGATTTTTCCAGAGGAACATGGATTTTTTTGATGAAAGGGAAGCATGAAACTCAAACCAAGCTGCGAGATTTTATTGCACTTGTTGAACGTCAGTTTAACGCAGCAGTGAAAACAATAAGATCTGATAACGGCTCGGAATTTATCAGCCTTCGACCTTATTTTTCAGCACAAGGAATCCTACACGAAACCTCTTGTGTAGGTACACCGCAACAAAATGGTCGTGTTGAGAGGAAACACCGCCATATCCTCAACGTTGCTCGGGCTTTGCTTTTTCAGGCAAACCTTCCCATTGATTTTTGGGGAGAGAGCGTCTTGACGGCAGCATATCTGATAAACAGGATCCCATCATCTGTTCTTGAAAATAAAACCCCTTATGAGGTTCTTCATGGCCATTCTCCAGGATATAGCCATCTGCGTGTATTTGGTAGCTTGTGCTATGCTCATACACCGAGCAAAACCAAGGACAAATTTGAACATCGAAGCTCTCGCTGTGTTTTTTTAGGCTATCCATATGGTCAGAAAGGTTGGAGATTATATAATCTCGACACGAAACAGATGATGGTCTCCCGAGATGTGGTCTTTGTTGAAACGATTTTTCCTTTTTCCGACAAGGCTGAATCGACGGCTTCACCAGTAGCTATGCAGCCTACACCTGTATATATACCTGATGATGAAGACCCAGCTGTTTTGGTCCCGCATCCGCTGCCTCAATCTGCTTCCTCGAGCACATCTGCAACCGAGAATTCATCAGAGGAGATTATACCACAATCTCCCATCATGTCTGAACCATCATCGTCATCTTCTTTAGTACCACCTGAAACTGATCCTATGCTTGTTGCTACAGTACCATCTTCGCCAGACACATCCTCTTCCCTGCTACTTGGTCGCGGTCAGAGGCAAAAGTACAAAAACATATTGCTGAAGGATTTTATTACCAACTCTGTGACTGTCGCATCAGGTACCTCATTCCCTCTTGAGAATTACCTATCATATGACCGACTATTTCCCAGGCACAGAGCATTCCTCGCCAGACTCACAGAAGAGACAGAACCCCGATCATTTTCCGAAGCTTCTATAGATGATCGATGGAAAAAGGCAATGTCTGATGAAATCTCTGCTCTTCAACACAATCGGACATGGACACTGGAACCTTTACCGCATCACAAGAAAGCTATAGGATGCAAATGGGTTTACCGAATTAAGTACAAGTCTGATGGAAGTGTTGAACGGTATAAAGCTCGACTCGTTGTCTTAGGAAACCGACAAACCGAAGGTATTGATTACAACGACACTTTTGCTCCTGTGGCAAAAATGGTTACCGTCAGAACATTTCTCGCAGTTGCGGCAGCCCGTAATTGGGATGTTCATCAAATGGACGTCCACAACGCCTTTCTCCATGGTGATTTATCCGAAGAGGTATACATGAAACCTCCCCCCGGATTCCAATTCTCCACACCTAATGTCGTATGCCGGCTTCGCAAATCACTTTATGGGCTAAAGCAAGCGCCACGTTGCTGGTTTGCTAAGCTCACTATGGCATTAACGAAGTACGGTTTCCGACAAACGGAATCTGATCATTCCTTGTTTATTTTGAAGACCACGACCACTCGTCTACATGTTCTGATATACGTCGATGATCTTCTTCTTACGGGTGATTCTCCTCAAGCAATGGTTGACTTCAAGACATATCTGAACCGATGCTTCAAAATGAAGGATTTGGGAAGTCTAAAGTATTTCTTAGGCATTGAAGTAGCCCGAAATTCCACTGGGATCTCCTTATGCCAGCGGAAATACACGCTTGACTTAATTGCTGAGACTGGATTATTAGCCAGTAAACCATCGCAGTTTCCATTGGAGCAACACCATCGTCTCACAATCAGTGACAGTGCCGCCATTCAAGATCCAGAACGCTACAGAAGACTTGTTGGCAAATTACTTTATCTCCTTGCAACTCGACCTGATATCACTTATGCTGTCCACATTTTATCGCAGTTTATGCAGAACCCTCGGGAAGATCATTGGCAGGCTGCTCTCAGGGTCGTTCGGTACTTAAAGCTTAATCCGGGCCAGGGTATTCTATTACGTTCTGATTCTGACTTACGACTCTATGGCTGGTGCGACTCAGACTGGGCCGGAGATCCTCGGACACGACGTTCTCTATCCGGTTACATTATACAGCTTGGCTCCTCCCCAGTCTCTTGGCGTTCGAAGCGGCAACCTACTGTCTCTCTCTCTTCCGCTGAAGCTGAGTACAGAGCAATGGCCGTCACAACTTGTGAGCTACTCTGGCTCAAAGCTCTCCTCTTCTCGCTCGGTGTTCATCATTCTGACGCCATGATTCTCAACTGTGACAGTCAACCAGCTCTTCACATTGCGGCAAACGACGTATTCCACGATCGTACGAAGCATATCGAGGTCAATTGTCATTTCCTCCGACATCACATCAAGAACGGCCTAATCTCGACTCGTCATGTTTCTTCATGCGCTCAACTAGCGGACATCTTTACCAAAGCACTCGGTCAAAAGGAGTTCGCTATGTTCTTAACCAAGTTGGGCATACACAATGTGTACGCTCCCACTTGAGGGGGGGTATTGCGGAGATACGAGAAGATTTGGTAACTAACCCAAATCGGAATTATAAATCTATTTGTTCCTAAGTATCAGCATTACAGGATTGTACTTTCCTTGTTCTGTTTTAGGTTAGCTTACGTCTCTTACATATATAAAAACTTTGTAAGCTCTGAAAATTCAATAAGAAGAACACAGCCGCATTATGCAATTCTTCATCCTTGCTTGATATTTATCAGAAACCAACCCATGAGTTATGCGTCACAGAGGAATACTTGGTTGGGGAGTCGCCAAGCTTCGGTCTTGCTGAAACAGGAATCGTCGAGAACTTTGCTCCGACACCATCGGCATCTAGGGTTAGATGAGCACTGAGATCTGGTCCTGATCTCGCAGCACTTGGGGATCCGATTGTTCTTGTCCGACTTCATGTTTGTCTGGATCTCCAACGGCTCCCGATTCGAAGGATGAACCAGAGGTGTCGAATATGAGAGAGATGGAGAGAGGAGGAGGAGGAAGGTGACGAGGAGAAGAGATGAGAAGCTTGAGCTAGATTCCGACATGGATACTGACGAACTCTCTCAGCTCTGTGATTTCCTCCGGCTTTTTCTCGAAAGTTGTCTTTTTTTTGGTGCATGTGTGTGAGAGGAGAGAGTTTTTGAACTTTGAAGACTCCTTCTCATTTAGCGGATTTCACAATTCCGATATTTTGCTTTAGTACAACAAAATCCAATTAAATCTAAATTCAATGATATAATTATTTTTCATTGAATAAAATAAGAGTTAAATTAACTAAGTACATACTATAGATTAAATTGACTAAAACCGAAAAATATAAAAAAATAACAATATGAAAAATTATGAATATTTTTAAATTATCATATAGATAAACAAACTCTAAACTTATGCCAAAATATATTAACCTTGTAAATATCGTTAGAAACTCACATCCTCATATATTTTCAAATTTTATATAAGTTTATTAAAATATTTTTAAAATTTATATATTTTAGTAAAAAAAATAAAATTGAACGTATGGTATTTTTTAAATTAATATTGTTCAGGCTATTGTTCCCAAAAAAATATTCATCAAAAATTGAAATTTTAATCACGTCATTTTTAATAGATCCGGGGTCTTGACTATGTAAAATGGGATTAATGATTTATCTATCTATATATATATATATATATGATATTTTTAGAATAATGAATAATTGGAATATTATAAGATATTTTTAGTAAAGTTGAAGTATTTATATGATATTTACATGGGATTTTTCAATTTTTTTTTTTTTTGCAATTTAGCAAATAATAAACACAAACACGATATCTCAATTTGTTATAGACACTGTTACGAGTTTTGAGTAAATGAATTTTAATATACGATTCTTCATCTCTTTTAAAGTAAAGTGCTTTAAAATTTTGAGCATAGGATGCGCATATTAGCATACGATGCGCATTTTATCGTAGCTTTTCCGCTTTACTGATGGATGGAGCAATCAACCTCCATCCACAAGAATCTTAGAAATTGATCGAGTTTTTGTTATTCTCACCGGGTTTTTGTGTTCTCAGGCAAAGACCCATCTCTTTTCTTCTTCTCTTCATCATCTTCTTCCTCGTCGTTGAATCTATTAACATCCCATTTCCATGCGCGTGTCTTCAGACATAGTTCTGCTCGGATTTCCCGTTTGCTTTCTTCCAGGTTCGTGTTCTTTCGAGTAATGAATCCTGGGTTTCGAGTAAAGCCTCGAAATTTCTGTCTCTGAATTCATGTTTCTTTCTGATTTCCGCCATAGATGCTCCTGTCATGATGTTTCATAGAAAAATCTGGTAAAGTCTGTACCTTTTTGCTAGTTCTTAGATGATCTGGATCACTCGTTGCACTGGGCATTTATTTTGCTAAAGGTTGATGCTGATGTGAAAGATTATCAGTCCATTCAGGGTACGAGGAATATAACAAGCTGTCGTAGTTACATTCGATGAGCATGAGTGAATATAGGGAGAGCCATTCATCCACCAGGGAGAAAAAGCTCAAGAACCCTGAAAGTAAGAACAATTCTGGTACACCCAGGAGTGATCTTTGGACAGATGGCCTTATCTGCGCCTTTGAATTTGTCCGAGGCACGAGGAAAAACACAGGTGGAAAGTCTGTTTCCACATTGCCAAGCAAGAAACTGGACAGACCCTTAGGGGTTTCTTCTTCCCCAGGAACTGGGGATGGTCAATTCTTTGATTCCTCTGCCATTGATGATCTGAGGGAAAGGGCCGTATCTTCTCACGGTCATAAAGATGGCCAGGGGTTTCAACCGGGGAAATTGGAGAGCTTTGAGGGTAGTCGTTGGGTACCTATTGGATGGTCTAGGATTTCAGAACTAGTTCAAACAGTACAAGTGAATTCAGAGTGGCCATTACAGAGTACAGAGTTGATGGATGATGAAGAGGATGTCCCTGTTGCAGATTTAGCAGCTCCTTACTGGGAACGGCCAGGAGGTCCGACATGGTGGTGTCATGTGGTGGCCGGACACCCATCTGTTGATTCATGGCTCAGAAATGCTCAATGGCTACATCCTGCTATTAGTTTAGCGTTGAGAGACGAAAGTAAGCTAATAAGTGAACGGATGAAACACCTTCTATATGAGGTATGTGCCTTGTTTTCAGTTCTAAAATCACTAATGTTGACCCGGAATTGTTATGAAAGGGATGAGAGCTGAGCTGATATAAGACAACAATCTAACTTGAATCTACATTTTCGGTTTCAGAAGAAACCCACATTCTGTTTTTCGGTGTATTGATGTTCTTGCAAAAGAGTTTGACCAATACGCTGTAATATTTGGATACATTTGGAATTGTCTGCCTGGCTTACGATATTTTCATCTGTATAATGTTCAATTAGAGGTTTATTTTAATAGTGTTCCTGTCTGTTGCCTTAAATCATCTCTAATATAGTTGTTGGATAACTTCTTGTTTCTTTTATCTATTTCTAAGGTTCCAGTGAGGGTTGCGGGGGGTTTGCTATTTGAGCTTTTAGGACAATCGGCCGGTGATCCATCGGTCAACGAGGACGATGTCCCTGTTGTTCTCCGATCATGGCAAGCTAAAAATTTCTTGATAACTGTTATGCACATAAAAGGAAATGTATCAAACATCAATGTCCTGGGCATCACTGAAGTTCAGGTCTGTTCACAAATCATCAATCTTTTATTCTTTCTTGATTCTTTTCATCCGAAGAAATCAGGACGCGAGGATTTAGTACCGGCCTGTGTTAATGCCTTTGGCTTTTCCTGATAGGAGCTACTTTACGCAGGAGGTTATAACGTGCCGAGAACAGTTCATGAGGTCATAGCACATTTAGCTTGTCGTCTTACTCGTTGGGACGATAGGTGAATTTAGCATTATCTTTTCTTTTTCCCCGGTGTCTGTATGCTGTTATGATTTTCGCATCGAGTTTACTTCTAGTTATTTTGTGTTACAGATTATTCCGCAAATCGATATTTGGTGAAGCAGATGAAATCGAACTGAAGTTTGTGAACAGGTTCTTCTAGACATCAATCTTTTTCTTGCAATTTTTTTACGGGTTACACGTTTTGCTAACAGAAACGCTCTCTTTTTCGTATCATTAGGAGAAACCACGAGGACTTGAATCTTTTCAGTATCATTCTGAACCAAGAGATCAGAAAATTGTCAAGACAGGTCACTTCACTTGCACATCCTTGTCCAAAATCACCTCCAAATGAAGATGGAAAAAAAAAAAGGGCAGAAAAAAAAACTTTTCTTGCCTGAGAATATGCCATTTTGTCGGTATTCTTTGCAAGACTGGACTAGATCATGAAGTAAAAACAGTCTTCCTCCTTTCCATGGCAGGTCATCCGAGTGAAGTGGTCGCTACACGCAAGAGAAGAGATCATCTTCGAGCTTCTCCTGCATTTGAGGGGAAGTGTGGCAAGATACTTGTTGGAGAGTGTAAGGAAGAGCACGAGGGAAATGATGGAGGAACAAGAAGCAGTTCGGGGACGTTTATTCACTATCCAGGATGTTATGCAAAGCAATGTCCGTGCATGGTTACAGGTCTGTCCTCAAGAAAATAATAACCATTGATTGTAAACTATCATATCGAATGAATTATCCGAGTAAAACTTCGATGTTCCTGAATTTTGTTTATTCACTGTTTTATCGATCCATATGCCGACATAATCTGCAATAAGCCATTACCCGATCCTCTCTCTCGTAAGTAAGAGTTCAACGCCTAAACCCTGGACCTGTTTTTCAGAACCTTTCTAGTTTCAGAACTTCTCAACTGGGGTGAGATCTTGTCAATTCTTTTTCTCATATCATGACACCTACTTTCAGGACAAAAGCCTAAGAGTAAACCACAACTTAGCTGTCTTTGGAGGATGTGGGCTTGTCCTTACCATAATCACAGGCTTGTTTGGCATCAACGTGGACGGTATCCCGGGCAGCCAGAACGCTCCATACGCGTTTGGTTTGTTCTCCGGGATCATGGTTTTCGTAGGAGCTGTCCTCATCGTGGTCGGTCTGGTTTACCTCGGGTTAAAGAAGCCTGTGACAGAGGAACAAGTCGAAGTAAGGAAACTAGAGTTACAAGACCTGGTTAAGATGTTTCAGCATGAAGCGGAAACTCATGCTCAGGTTCGGAGAAACAACCTTTCTCCCACCGCAGGAGATGTTCTTGATGCAGACTATGTTCTGATCCAGTGAAAAACCCTAAAACTGTGTCTTGATCTTCTTTTATATGGTGAACCTTCGAGGGTCATCTTGTTGTATTTTGATAGTTTTCTGTTGTAGTTGATAGAATTTGGCCATCTGGATGCTGAAACAAACTCAAAGGCTAAGACTTTTGAGCAGACAGGTCCATGGAATATGTCTCTGTGTGGAATCTACATTGTTAGGACAAGACCAGAATGAATTTCACTGTGCTGACAACTTTTGATCTATGATTGATCATTACCCTTTTTCCATGCAAAGATTTGGACAATGAATCAATTATGTGAAGGTCCTATACCATTTATATATATATATATATATGTATATATATGTATATACATGTGTATGTATGTATCTATCTGCGTGTGACTGCAGTCAAAACCGACCACTGGGAAACAGAGCCCAGATCTCTCTCTCTCTCTCTCTCTCTCTCTCTCTCTCTCCGACAAGAGTTTGACTTCTGGTCCTTGCTAAGTTTATATCGTTCTCTCTGGAGAGTTCACTTCCATCCGATTTCTCCAACCAAACTGACAAATTCGTGAGATCTTCCGCATCTAAGCTTCACACAGATCACCAGACTGTCAGATTCAAGAAACCCAGAACTCAGGATTTCAGAATCAAGAAGATCTGACAAGAGTCGCAGAAGCTGAGGAAGCTGTAACAATGGCGGGTTTCACTATGAGCCTGAACCTGCTTCTCCTCGTGGCCATGGTTGCCACCAACATCCTCTCTCTCTACCACCTCTCCTCCACAACCAGCTTCTTCCAGTCCGCCGTCAAGCCGCCGTCCGCTCCGCCTGTCCCCGACCATCTCCTCCGACAGCTCCACACCATTCGCGCGGCAATCTCCCATCTCACCACCCACCAACCCGACACCGCCAAATCCGCATCCACCGGCGCGTCGATCTCAGACGCCTTGCCCTCCGCCGCCGCCGCACCTCCCAAGGACCTTCTACTGTACTCCCAGCTCTCACCCATCGCTTCCGCTTGCCATAACCACCCTGATCTTCTCCACCAGTACATGACCTACACGCCATTTTCTCTCTGTCCTTCAGATTCCGATCTCGCCGAGAAGCTCATCCTCCGAGGTTGTCACCCACTTCCTCGCCGTCGCTGTTTCTCCCGGACGACAAGAAATCCGTCGGTGACGAAGCCAGATTCGAATGTCATATGGTCTTACTACTCCTGCAAGAGCTTCGATTGCTTAACCTCGAAATTCCCCGATCTGGGTTTCGATCTATCCCTCGAGAAATCCGAAACCCAGTTCTCATCTTACAAATCCGAGCTCGATCTCCCGATCTCGCAGCTTCTCCAACTCGCCAAGTCATCGAACTCCGTCCTCCGTCTCGGCATCGACGTCGGCGGCGGAACCGGGTCGTTCGCCGCCGCGATGAAGGCTCGGAACATCACCGTCCTGACGACGACGATGAACTTCAACGCGCCGTACAGCGAGGCGGTGGCGCTGAGGGGACTGGTCCCTCTGCACGCGCCATTGCA